GTCGAAATTAAAAACGCGAGTGGGCATATCGGACCTGAGGATTGAAGATGGTAGTTATGCAGATTCTGACCAGGATAAGGCGAAGGCACTGAAAAAAAAAAATCATCGGTTTTCACAAGGGAGGATGCGCACAATCTTCCTACATTTTAGGAAAGACGGTTTGACACGAGCTGACCCAGATTGTGTTCTCGCACGAAGTTATAAGAAATAAACTGTCAAACTTAAAGATTCACAAAAATCCCGGGACAGATATGGTACAGTCGGGGTCAAAAGTCTTGAACACTTGACAGTATTTGTCATGTAAGTAACCGAAGATCTCAGGTATGAAGGAGAGTTTTATCCCATTTTGTGGTTCAGGCATAATATGTGATGACAAGTAGTGTTATCACTATATCCCAATCATATATGTATAACTCAGAAGTAGATGCCAGATATTGCTAAGTGTTCAAGACTTTTGACCCCGACTGTACATCCCAGTGTTAAGAGAACTGTGTAACGAGTTTACGGAGCCCCTAAAGAACATGTTCTGCAAATGCCTGGAAGAGCAAAATGTCCCAACGACTGGAATATGGCTTATGTGAGTCCTATCTTCAAGAAGGACGATCGTCATTCCACGAATAATTATAGACCAGTTAACCTGACCAGCATAGTGTGCAAATGACATGCCTGACGTTGTACACTCCTCCATACAAATGTTTGCCGATGACGCCAAGTTATTTTGGGAAATTAAGAACCAAACGGACTGGGAAGAGCTGCAGAAGGACCTCTGTGGGCTCCAGGAATGGTCGAAGAAATGGCTGCTGAGATTCAATGTCACGAAGTGTAAGAGGATGCACCTGGGGCGTACCAACGGTAAGGAGGCGTATCATATGTCCCAACAGAATGAAGAAACTGCACTAGTTGACACCGAATGTGAGAAGGACCCAGGTGTGTATGTTGACAATGAGCGGAAGTTCTCGGGCCATTGCGAGAAGAAGGTAAACCAGGCAAATAAATTATTGGGTCTTATAAGAAGGTCGTTCAGATATCTAGACGGTCTGTCCCTCGTAACGATCTTCAAGAGTGAAGTGCTTCCCCATCTGGAGTACTGTCACCCCATCTGGTCCCCGAGATATGCTAGGGACTGTCAGTTGGTTGAAAATGTTCAAAGGAGGGCCACTAGACTGGTGCCTGCACTTCGGCACTTCAGCTACCCTGAGAGATTGGAGTGCTTGAAGTTGCCTAGCTTATACTACAGACGGGCAAGGGGTGACCTAGTTGAGGGGTATAAGCATCTCGGGGGGCACTATTCAGTCGTGTATCCTTACTTGGAGCTGGCAGACGCTCGCCCCACAAGGGGTCACAGCTCAAGATTGAAGAAGCCGCAAGTCCATAAAACTGTGAGGGCAAACTTTTTCGGAGTGAGGGCTGTAAACTCTTGGAACAATCTACCAGAGAGTGTTGTGACGGCACCGAGTGTGAGCTCTTCCAAGACAAGACTTGACCAACACTGGAGAGGGTTCAGGTACATTCAGGAGCCGGTGCATGCCCAGTACTTGCCAACAGTGCGTGATAGAGACGTGACCGATCGCCCGGGCGGCTAGAGAGCCGATCTTTTGGTGAAGAGGATAAATGAAAAGGAAAAGTAATCAGAGACGTGACCGATCGCCCAAGCGGCTAACGAGCCGATCAGTGATGAAGAGGATAAAAGTAAAGCAAAAGTAAAGTACTAGAGAGCATCGTAAGAGATTCCATGATGGAACATCTGCTATGAAACAACCTTGTAAAGGAATGCCAGCAATGTTTTATGCCCGGTAGATCATGCTTACCAGAATTACTCAGGGTACGAGATGCTTGGACTAAAATTCTAGAACAAGGCGGAAATATCAACATTATTTACATAGATTTTGCCAAGGCTTTCGACAGTGTACCCCATGAAAGGCTGAGAATTAAACTGGAAGGGTACGGGATTCGGGAAGTGTCCTAGCGTGGATCAGAGACTTTCTGCATGGTCGCAAACGGTGTGTGGTGATAAATGTTACGAAATCGTCATGTGTACCTGTGACTCGCGGGGTACCACAGGGCAGTGTATTGGGCCCGTTGTTATTGTCTGTTTCATTAATGACATGCAAGAAGCTATACACTCCACCATGCAAATGTTTGCGGACGATGCCAGTTATTTAGGGAAATTTAGAACCAGAAGACTGTGAAGAGTTGCAGAAAGATATCTATGAGTTTCAAGAAAGGTACAGGGGGTGTAGAGGAAATGGCTGCTAAAATTCAATGTCATGAAGTGCAAAAGGATGCACCTGGGTCGCACCAATAGTAAGAAAACATATCACATGTCCCAACAGGACGAAGAGACTGCATTAATTGAGACCAAATGTGAAAAGGACCTGGGTGTGTAAGTCGACAATAAACTTAAATTCTCGTGCCATTGTGAGAAGATGGTGAATCAGGCAACAAAATTAGTAGGTCTTATAAGAAAGACATTTAGATATCTGGATGGTCTGTCACTCGTCACGATCTTCATGAGTGAGGTGCTTCCCCGTCTGGAGTATTTTCACCCCGTCTGGTCCTCGAGGTACGCTAGAGATTGTCAATTGTTTGAAAATGTCAAAAGGAGGGCCACCAGACTGGTGTCTGCTGTACGGAACCTCAGTTACCCAGAAAGATTGTAGCGCCTGCAACTACCTAGCTTATACTACAGACGGGTGAGGGGCGACCTAATCTAAGTGTATAAACATCTCAGGGGGCACTACTCAATCGAATGTACAGTCGGGGTCAAACGTCTTGAACACTTAGCAATATCTGGATCTACTTTTGAGTTATACATATATGATTGGGATATAGTGATAACACTACTTGTCATCACATATTATGCCTGAACCACAAAATGAGATAAAACTCTCCTTAATACCTGAGATCTTCGGTTACTTACATGACAAATACTGTCAAGTGTTCAAGACTTTTGACCGCGACTGTACATGCCTGCTGGAGGAAGTCTGCCCCACAAGGGACCACAGCTCAATGTTGAAGAAGCCACAAGTTCAGAAATCTGAGAGGGCAAAATTTTTCGGAGTGAGAATTGTGAACTCTTGCAACAATCTGTCGGAGCGTTGTGACGGCACCGAGTGTGAGTTATTTCAAGGCCAGAATTGACCAACACTGGAGCAGGTTCCGATATATTTAAGAGCCAGTGTATGCCCAGTATCTGCCAACAGTGTGTATCAGAGACGTGACCAACCGCCCAAGCGGCTAACAAGCCGATCAGTGGCGAAGAGGATAAAAGTAAAAAATAAAAGATTTGGAAGTTGAAATCCTTCTGAGCATATATATTTTTTTTTGGGGGGGAGGAGGGGGTTAATTTAGGTATGTCACAAAAACTGTGACCAAGTCCCAGGTTGGTGATCTGACTGACTTTCTGTCTCCTTTGCACACAATTGCAGGGTTTCAATTATTTCTTTTAATTTGACAACAGAACATAAATATTGTTTCTCTTTCTTGATCTGTTTTTATTTTATTTTAATTTCTGTATTTATTCGTGGTTCAATTTGTTTTATTTTTTCGCCTACAGGCCCCGATGTGGGTCGGTGACCTACGCCCAGATGGGCTAATCCCCCCAAAAAAAATCACAGGCAATTGAGAAGAAAACAATATCAACGAAGTGGGCCAGGAAAGGGTGTATTATGTGACCTAGGTGTGTATTTCTCCTCTACTGATCGCCCTTAAGTACCTCAATGAATCCCTCCTGCATAATTTACTCACAAGTTACCCACGCGTGTCACTCACGCGTCTCCCACACATAAGGTGCACATCTACAAACATAAACAATACATTCATCCCAAAACACTCTCAAACAGATAACCCGTCTCATGTTATCCACACCAACTCTCTCCATCACTCTGTGCATCTTTCTCTATTCCTTCTTCTGTATCTTTCTTTTTTCTCTCCTATTATATCACACTTTTTCCATTCACTCATCTCCCTTTACCCCATCGTTTGTCTCTGTCACCTCCGTCCATCCAGTCATTTTTTTTACTTATACCATGTGTCAAATCATTCTGCTTTAAGGACACCAAATAGGTTGATGGGATGGGTCCAAGGTGTGTGTGTGGTTAGGGTCAGGGAGGCGTGTGGCGTGGCGGGCAGTACACTCACTTCCCACATTGCACTAGTCATGGGTAAAGGAACAAAGAAGAGCGGTGGTTGACGGAGGTGTGAGAGAAAGAGTGTGTGTGATTTGTTTTTAGGGTAATTCATCCCGTACAAAAACACGATATGGATAAGAACAACATAATACAGCTTATTTAATAGAACTCCGAGGATAACACAAAAAGACAATACTTAATATTCCACTATGATAAGTTTATACTACCAGTGTTAATGCTAATAAAAGATTACCCAATAAACAAATATTATGATCTCATGAACATCGATTACTAAGTTAAAGTTGGCACTCATTTGTCTCCCTGATATTAATCCACTCCATACAGTCACATCTGCTATCTTAACAACATATTTGCGAGTTGTTCTCGTATCTGGTACGGATTCAGAAAAATTACGAATAGTTTTATTATGTAAGAAATATTTGCAAATTACTGTATATGAATATTTCCCCTTAGAATGCATCTCACGTGAGGTGGTCGTGTGGGTTACGCCCCTTGACAGTAAGACTCCTCCCCAAGGAATTGCCATTTCTCACTAGATGCTCAACATGGTAGTGCTGTATCCCCACTAACATATAAGCAAAAGTTTACTTAAAGTACTACAACAAGAATCATAGATTATAATTTACAATTATGCTACATACGAATTATACTACATGAATGGGAAAACTCATTACAGAAAGAGGTTCAATACTCCAGCAGCGACCCAAGACACTTTTGAACTTTCACTTAATAAGACAAGACCGCTGAAGAAGCCAATACGAATACATTCAGTCTAAACCCTTGTTTCTTATTGGTCACACTAACTGACGCTGGCCATGAGGAGGTGGGCAATACAGGGTGACTTCAACGCCAGTAACACTGTTAGTTCTCCAGCAGTGAATAGGGGAGAAACACCGATTCTACTTTCTGGGAAATTAAGTGGGTTCTAGACTCTGTGGCTTAGAAGGAAAAACGTATCATGTGTACTTTATGAAAGCTTGTATTAACAAGAGAAAATTCTTTTGAGTCTCGCTGTCAGTGAAGTGAAAGTAGTCGATTGTTATTCAGGTGGTGAGTCAGTGATAAAGAGTGGAGGGAGAGGAGCAGCAGCACCTGGACGTGGGGTCCTGCAGGATAAACCTGTGGAGGAGGATCCTAGAGTCTGTAGCCAGTCGGGGACACCATATAAGGATGAACTTTACCGCCATGAAGCAGCAAGACGGATATTCCTGGGACATATCCCAGAGGTGAGTGTTAGCTTGGTTCCTCGTACACCTTACCCACCCCATTCCCCGGACGCGATCAACCTGTCTCCTCAGGTGGGTTCCTGAGGCAATCAATTGTTTACATTCTTAATTGCAGTTGTTATGAATTATTTACGGTTATCAGCATATATATATATATATATATATATATATATATATATATATATATATATATATATATATATATATATATATATATATATATATATATATATATATATGCTGATAACCACAAGGAAAGAAGAAAACACGAAGTTCCTAAGCGCTTTCGTGTAATTCACATCTTCAGGGGTGAGTACAGACTAAGGAAAAGTACAAAACAAGGTGTATAAAGACAGAGGAGGGTGAGATCAGGTCCACAATGGTCAGGTATTAGGTAATGACCCTATTAATCTTTAAAAAGCACCGCACTGCTTTTTAAAGATTAGTAGGGTCATTACCTAATACCTGACCATTCATTATTATTCTGCCCACCATAATAGACTCAAACAGTCAGTATTTTCAACAATGGTTTTACGTGCTTTGAGAATTTGCAGCCCGGAATTCATTGATGAGGAATATAAATATATCTATAATATTGGCTCAAACCTTAAATACCCTAGATCTTTCATAGACAAATGCCTGAACATTACTAAGAAATCTTTTTATAGAACTGATCCCAAGTCCACCCATGACCATAAGAATATCTTAGCATTACCATTTCACAAATATTTCTCACACATTCCTTTACAACTAAAAACCTGGAACGTCAATGTGGCATTTAAAAACTCATGCACTGTTAAACAAATGTTAATCAAGAACTCCCCCAACAACACAATTGGTTGCATTTATAAAGTTCCTTGCAAGGAATGTAATATGTTTTACTTAGGCCAGACAGGTAAAGATCTTGTAACTAGACTTAAACAACATAAATATAGTGTGAGGACAGGCCAGGAATCCAATGCTCTGTTTGTTCATCTGAGGGGTAATAAGCATTGCATTGACTGGGATAACGCCTCCTCAATATTACCTTGTAATTCAATTGACAGTTGGAACATCATAGAATCTAGTCTTATTAAACATACAGAAGCATTCAACATGAATTTGAGTAATGGCATGTACAAACTGGACAATTTTGTAATTAAGAAGATTTGTAACCAGGTGAGAAGGTTGGGTCACCTTACCCTCTGACCTGACTACCGACCGTTGCCGTGCTTTTTAAAGATTAGTAGGGTCATTACCTAATACCTGACCATTGTGGACCTGATCTCACCCTCCTCTGTATATATACACCTTGTTTTGTACTTTTCCTTAGTCTGTACTCACCCCTGAAGATGTGAATTACACGAAAGAGCTTGGGAACTTCGTGTTTTCTTTTTTCCTTGTGGTTATCAGCCGATACCTGGATCACGCGCAACTACAGTGATTTACTTGCATATATATATATATATATATATATATATATATATATATATATATATATATATATATATATATATATATATATATATATATATATATATATATATATATATATATATATATATATGGCTTCACAAGCGGACGTTCATGTCTAACTAATCTATTAACATTCTTTTCATCAGTTTTCGAATCGGTGGACGAGGGGCACAATTATGATGTGGTATATCTCGACTTTAGCAAAGCCTTCGACAGAGTCCCCCACGAAAGACTAATTAGAAAGGTAGAAGCACATGGCATCAAAGGTAATATCCTTAAATGGATTAGGGCGTGGTTACAGGACAGGAAACAGCGAGTGAGCATTAATGGCACTAAGTCCCATTGGAGCAACGTCAGAAGTGGAGTTCCCCAAGGCTCAGTACTTGGACCATTATTATTTATTATATACATAAACGACATAAATATCGGCATAGACAGCAACATAAGCAAATTTGCTGATGACACTAAAATAGGACGTGTTATTAAATCTGACGAGGACTCCACAAAACTACAGGAAGATCTAAACAAATTTTTCGAATGGTCTGAAAAATGGCAGATGAAATTCAACGTGGACAAATTTAAAGTACTCAGTATAAGAGATGTAAACAGGGAAACCAGATACCAGATGAACAACGATGCCATAGAGAAATCCGACTGCGAGAGAGATTTAGGAGTAATGATAAGTAGGAACCTTAAGCCAAGTAAACAATGTGTTTTTGCTCGTAACAAGGCTAACAAAGTACTTGGGTTCATACAAAGGAGTGTAGTTACAAGACTAGCGAGGTCATCCTAAAACTGTATCTTGCTCTTGGGAGACCACACCTGGATTACGCAGTTCAGTTCTGGTCACCGTATTACAGGATGGATATAGAATCCTTGGAAAGAATTCAGAGGAGAATAACAAGACTAATCCCGGGCATTAGGAACCTTGAGTATAGAGACAGGTTAAAGCATCTTAATTTGCACTCCCTCGAGAGACGTACAGTAGAGCGAGGGGCGACCTCCTGATAGAGGTGTATAAGTGGAAGGCAGGGCTAAACAAAGGGGACATTACAAAGGTACTCAAACTATCCAACCAGGAGCGAACTCGTCACAATGGTTTTAAATTAGACAAATTTAGATTTAGGCGTGAAATAGGTAAACACTGGTTTGGAAACAGAGCAGTGGATGAATGGAACAAGTTACCAAATATCATCATTAACTCGAATACGCTGAATAGCTTCAAACATAGGTTTGATGCTTATATGAGCAATAGGGGTTGGGTGTAAACGGGACTGCCCAGCATGGGCCAATAGGCCCGCTGCAGTTTCCTCCATTCTTATGTTCTTATGTGTGTGTGTCCAAATTGTGTCACTCAAGGGACATTTTTACCCTTGGCAAATTTACCCTACACGAACCAAGTTAAGTAATTTTTGGGCTGTGTGCAAGGTTGGGGTGTAAGGGGACTAAGAGGTGTATAACGGTAACACCTATGGAAGGGAGAGATGTGGATGGCAGTTGGTGTGTGGATTGTGGCAGGTGTTTGGGAGGTAGGTGTGTAGAGGGTGGCATGTATGTGGAAGGTTGCAGGTGTGTGGAGGGTGGCAGATGTATGGAAGGCAGGTGTGTGGATGATGGCAGGTGTTTGCAAGGCAGGTGTATGGAGGGCAGCCGGTATGTGGCAAGGGGATGTGTGGATGGTGGCAGGTGTTTGGGAGGTAGGTGTGTAGAGGGTAACGTGAATTTGAAAGGCAGTAGGTGTGTAGAGGGCAGCAGGTGTGAGTGAAGTTACTGTGTGACGGTGCACCAGGAACTAGCACGGTGCCACCCTTGTCATTTCATACGCTGGCACCCTCATGCAAGGTGACTGCCGTGTGCCACTCCAGTTTCTCCCCGCTGGTGCTTTCATTTGACATTGTTGTTGAGGTGTTGATGAGATGAAGCTTCTCACTAAATTACCTCTTGATGACTAAATTTTGCCACAAATTGTAAGCATTAAATGCTTTTTAACCATCTAGTTTGTCAAGGCCACCAGGTGTTGACACTCTTCTCTGGCTGACGTGACATCTCTACTTCCTACCCGGAAATTATTTTACCTGCTAGCCTTGACTACAGGCAAAAAAATAGAAGGGGTTTCCTCGGTGTTTGGAGGTCAGCGTGCGAAGTCTACAGCTGGTTAATATGTGAGGCGTATATACAAGTTCCTTATAGGGTGGTCTAACTTAGTCACACCTCTCCTCACGCACCTGCCAATTAACATTGAAGATTTGTAACGATCATCTGCAGGCAACGCCACAGTGTCAAGGAGGAGGAGCTTGTGGATGAGACTCTGGTCCCCAGCGCCTGTCCTTACCCCACATAGGCAAACTCTTTGTCCCTGAAGTGAGCAAGTCTCCATTCCTAGGGTAAGGAGATGGCAGCCAGCGGCACTTGCCACCGTCGTCATGTATCAGCCCCGCATGTGTAGGCTGCTCTTGGTTTTGGCACTCCGTAACGTATGACGTCATGTTATGTAACCGTGTGCAGAGTTACATAGTGCGGTTCTTGTGTCATGGAGCGATTACTATGCAGCAGTGTTACGTGGTTCCATTTTTGCAAGGAATAGCCTCCCGTGGCTGGCGAGGGCAGGAGGCCTTGAGCGCCTAGCTTGTACCAGGTTTTCAAGTGAACTAGATCTGGACCCTGACGTATTATTCTCCCTTGCCACTCATCCACTCCGCTTCGTTGCCTCACCAGTCACTACGCACCGCATAAGCTTCAGCACCCAGCAGGTAGCCATCAAACCACACGAAACTGGATGAGTAAGCCTTCCATCACACCCTCTTTCTCATAGTGTAGGAGCCCCGTAAGCACCTTCAAGTGCGCGTAATTATACATAAACGTATATATACTGTCCTCACTAGTCTGCATGTAAACAAATGCTCGCTATGCTGTACAAGTTCTTACATTTAGAACACAAATAATTGTCTTCTTTTTGTTTAAGGAGAGTCTGACATAAAAGTGTACACGTCAGTGTCACTACACCAGCAGGTGCGTGGTTGACTGGAGGGCGTGGGCGTGGATTCAAGGCTTACGGTGGGCGTCGTGGAGGCCCCGCCTGGGCGTGGGCGGCAGAGGTTGCACAGCCGGCCTGACGTTAAGTAACAGAACTGTGAAGGTGTCAGCATGACTGGGTATAAGGCCTCCATAAATTCTAGTAAATCGTGTTATTTCGGTGGGTTTTTTTTTGCAGCACTGTCCCTCTTACTCCGCAGTTACAACAACGACTTGTATTCGTCAACTAAGAGTTTACCAGCATGACCTCCATTAGCTGATTCATTGGAAATTGTTATGGAATTATACTTGAACCTTCAGTGATGCGATGATTATCTTGGCGCTAAGCCTCGGTTCGTGGCCACGCTCACATGACTCACTCTAACTTAAAGTCTCTCTCTTATGGTCGCAAGATTCTTATACTGTACTCACTCGTCACGATTTTCAGATGGTATCCTTTATGTGTAAATATCTTGTAGTTTAAACTGGTGAAGGAGTAAGATGCGGGAAAGAGGATGAGAGGGTGGAGGTTA